TAATTAATTTATAATATTTATATTTCTAGATATACATTTAAAATAACTTGTGTAGGTTTTTTTATGAGATTATTATGACTAACCTTATTTGATATGTATATATATATGTTAAACGGAGATGGACTCCATACCTCAATTTTTTTATTTTTTTTTACCTCAATTTTCATTCATAATCAAGAGACATCTATATGCTAGAAACTATAACTAAATAAAAACAAATGCGTTATCGCTACGTAGCACTGGCCAGATTCTAGCCCCTCCTCTTCTCTCTGTTGCATCGTGTAAAAAGTACGGTTGAGATGCAGGCCACGTTTCGAAGGAATCTAGAAGACCTGCATGCGTGGAAACAAAACCATTTGAATACATATATATATATATATATAATAGTTTTTAATGTTTTTTCGTATGATAGAAACTATTTGTATAATAAAATTAAATCAACTAATAAGTTAAAAAAAATACTATTTTTTACTAATTTAATTAAAAGGTAAACATATGAGGAATGTGAATTATTTCCCGTCTCCATCTCCGGGTCGGAAACATGAAAAACCCAGCCCCCGCAGTATGCTGGGTCAGATACAAAACAGCTCTTTCATGAGCTAGTGCAAAAATCAAGTCGATCGGGTTCGGGTTAAATTATCATCGGAAGCACAAGGATGCTTGTCAAAACAGGCTTAAGCTATCTAATGGGCGCTCTAGGTCATTTTGTTCGGCCTAGTTGCTCTTTGGCCACAGGTTGATTCCAGTAAGCCCATCTCAATTGGCAGACCTCATGTTCTTACGCTATTGACATGGCCACATAGGACAAGTGCAGCCCGCTAACACAACTAGATTGGAACTGAAAGTATAAAATCTTGCTACCTGAACCATGCTCAAGACAAATGCTAATGAATGAGGTTAACAAAGATAATATTACATTACAAACTGCCTGTCCTTGTCAGAACTTGTCAACCTGTGAACTGAGTAATCCAAGGATCAACTTTGCTTCTTTCCATGGCAACGATTGCGTGAGTTTCGGTTGTCCGGAATAAGCATAGAAAAGAGTAAACAAATGTATACTGCTAACCTTGATGATTGTAGCCAAAAACAAGGAAATGAGGATGAGCCAAACAGAGTTGAAAACCACAGCATCAACTAGAAAAGCAATGGTGTGCAGAAAAAGAAAGTAAAGAAATTCTAATGTTAAAAAAACCAACATTCAATCAACGAAAAAGGAATGGTCCCAAGTAGTTCTTCATCCTGTACATGTTCCAGGTAGACTTGTCGCTGCAATTAAGGCAGCATTTCGGCACGGTTAAAACTGTTTTCTCCAGATTTATGCAGGATTTCAATATTACACTCATCCATCAAATAGATTAAATTTAGTACAGTTGACAAAGTCTTAGAGATGAGTTCACTAAACATCGATTTGTCTTACAAACACCAGTCGATGATGGGGATCTATAGTGTGTGCATGTGAAGTGATTAAAATTAGCAAATATAATATTGCAGGAAGTAAGAATACCCAAATTACCTGCTCCATGGATGCAACAGTCAGGAAACTCAACAACAGCATCCTTTAACCTGAAGATTCTTTTCGGAAAGTACCACAACGTCGTGGCATCCTCGTTGAATTGTAGCAACCCTTGTGAGTCCTTCCCATTTATGTATACATAGGAAGCTTGTGTGTGCAGTTTTGAAAGGCTCATCATTGTCTCAATTCTCCATTCCAGAAGAGAAGCATTGATTGCATTTCCAATGGACTATTTTATGGCCACAAATTTTGCGGAAGCTTTGCAGAGGATCAAGTTCATGTTTCACACAGGGATCGGATCCAAGCAGCATCTGCCTTACCTGCCACTCCTAATAAAATAATAAAAAACTAGAACCATCTCTAAAAACTGCAAAGCATCATTCAGAAGGACAGTCGACAGTATATCAACAAATTCAATTTCTGATTGTTGATGGACAAAGGTAAGAAATACCCTCAATGTGAAGACAGGGAGAAACCATACAAGTTTCTCCACCCATGATATCTGCTGGATTAACTATCTGCTACGCTCTCACATTTTTCACATTCACTTAGTGGTTAAAATCTGCATCTTTTGGAGTAAGGTAGATCGAAATGCAATTGTTGACCAATAACCCAATAAAACAAACATATCAACTTCCATGGCTGAAAATTCAAGCCTGCCTTAATAATTTGGAGACAAAAATCCATATTGACAGCACAAATAAAAGAATCCACAATAAATGATAATTGAATGTTCTCGTCAGCATCATAAGAAGCCATAAGCCATCAAATTAAACACCAACAAGCAGAGCTCCTATGTAAAAAGGTAAATCTCAGATCTTAAAAGTTTGGCATACATTTGTATTAGCCTATTAGGTTTCCTTTTCCCTTTCCCTTTTTTCTTTGCAAGTGCCCAAGTTCAATCATAGGGTGCTCCGTATCTGGAACAGCCAGTACACTGACACCATTGCCAACCCCAAACAATGCATATTAGTATTGTTAGTACCTCTAATTATAAATACATACAGGTTTCCAGCAACGACTAGGTTTCCAGCAACGATAGCTTAAACTACAAGTTATACAGATTCCTCTGGGTATAATTGCTTGGCCATGTTATTAAAAGTGGCGGACAAGAGGGGACAACTACTGGTGCCTAAATTCACCGAAGAGAATAAGCAAGTTGCTTGCATGAATTGAAAAAAACCTGACGAAAGTTACTAGGATAGCCTTACTGCTGAAAACACAGGCCATGTTCAAATAGCCTAATCAAGTGCTTATGGCATTTCCAATACTCATTGTTGAAGCAAACATGAAGTGGGGTCGCCATCTTGTTGTTGCAAATCTATAGTGACCATAGAACATTATGATATTAGCAATGGACTGGTAGGCCATACCAGTATAAACAGGAGCAGGTGAAACAAAATTCAACTCATTTCATTTAATGAAGACATGTTGCTTTACAACAATATTTATATCATCCATAAACAATTATCTAAGAAATACACTGTTGCTCCTTAAGACCAGTTTCGGACATTAAAGCTTACCGAACCTTCTGATGTGACTTGGACTTGAAAGGGAACCGTGTGGGAGGTGAGGGAGAAAATTCAGATGGTAATTGAGGTACCTGTGACTCTCCGGTAAGCATCCCCACAACCTCTTTCATTGAAGGACGATGAGCAGGTGACTTTTGTAAACAAAGAAGAGCAATAGTGATGCATAATGTAGCTTGTTCCCGATCCAAAGACTGTACAGACTTATCAACCAAATCAAGAAGCTTGCCAGAACGGGCAAGATTACGAGCCCAATGCATTAGGTTAGCACGCTGAAACTCAGACACTGGTAAGGTAGTAACCTGAAGTGGACGCCTCCCAGCAACAAGAACCAACAATAACACCCCAAAGCTATACACATCAGATTTCTCTGATAAATTCCCCCCACCACCATACTCAGGGGCGGCATAACAGACGGTTCCTCTCATACTTGGTGTACTACTGATTCCACCACTCTCCAGTATCTCTCCACTCAAAGAATCATGGCTATTCCGGTTACCTCTAAATAGCTCACCACTAAACCATTCAATACTGCCTATGCCGCCTCTGCTGCCTCTACTCTTACTTCTCTTCTTCTTTCTCTCAGCATACAATTCCTCATCTCTTGGCCACCAATCTTCTCCACCATTATTATCATCACTAGTCATCCCCATTTCTCTCTTCTTCTTCTTTTTCTTATTTTTTTTCTCCAACTCTTCGCAATACTCCTCCTTCCACCATTCCCTTGCCGGCCTTCTCTTCTCCTTCTTCAAAACCTTCTCATCCTTATCATCATCTAACGAAACCCACCAATCCAATCTCTTCCG